CGGCGGCGCAGCACTGCCCTCGGCCTGCCCAGCACGTGGCCCGCGGGCCGGGCGGGCCCGAGCCTCGCTCTTGAGCCCCGCCGAGCTGCGCCGTGTGCTCATCCGCAAAGCGGAACAGAGGCCCCGCCAGGAGGCTCAAAGCTGCGTGGGAGGCCAGGTTCCTGCCGACCTGAAGACGGGCCTGCTGCATGCACCCACAATCCTGGCTCACTGGGGGGCGGGCGCAGGCCGTCAGAAATACCCGTCTCCCTTTCTTTCTCCCCTCCCTGCTGCATCTCCTAGCCTCTCACAAGGGGATGGTTACTGCCCCGATTTCCACGTGGGGGTGCGCATGTTATTTCTGTTAGGAGCCCACACAGAGGGAAATTCTGAGCCGTTAGTGGGCAAGATAGTGTCTGTCCTCAACTGCTGTCTACTGGGTCATCGGAAAACTCACGACACAGTTTTGCATGGAAAAAAAATGTCATGTTTTTTCTGACAACCCCGTAAATTAAAGCTGTCTAGTTTGGGGCCAGTAGGTGGCACAGTGGTTATGTCTCTGGACTCCCACTTGGCTATGGTTGGAGTCTTGGACCCAGTGGCTTGAAACGCATGCCAGGCATGTGTGCCTGCATGCCCAAGATCCTGGGAGGAGAATGGAGAAGAAGGGATTGTGGGGACCAGCAGTTGCCGTAATGGCTGTGTCGCTGGACTTCCATGCAGTCAGTCACAGTTTGAGTCCCAGACCCAGTGGCTTAAACTCACACCAGGCGCGTGTGCGTGCGTGCCCAAGATCCCGAGAGGAGAATGGAGGAGAAGGGATTGCGGCGTGGCCATATCCCCTAGGGGGTGATTTCTCGCTGTCTGTCTGTCTCTGTCCCCGGCAGGCGTGGCGCGGGCAGGTGTGGCCTTTCCTTCCCCTTCCCCTGGGCACTGGAGTGTCGGGATGGGGCTCATCGGGGAGCCAAGCAGCCTCTGTTCCATCTCAGGTACCCTGTCAAGCACTGCAGGGCAGGACCCCAGGGTGGCGAGGGCCGCTGAGCTGCTCCTGACGGGTTTTCTTCGCAGCTCAGTGGTTTACGGCCACAGCCCTCTGCGAGGGGGGACTGGCAGTCCCCTGACCAGTTCTGCTCGGGCTTCTCTGGGCTAGTCTGGGCTGCTGTGGTCTCCCCTGCACCGTGCAACTTCAGGGAGCCCTGCCAAGTCTGTTTGGCCAGAATCCCCGCCCCGGCCATCTGAGGGGTTCCGGCGTCCCCTGCCCCAGTCTGTCTGACCACAGCTCACCTCAGTCAGGTCTGTGCCACCCACACCAGCCCAGGAGCCTCCCGCTCCATGTCCCCGTGTCCCCCGGCTCCCCTGCCACTCGGCCACTCCCGCGTCCTCCCTCCTGGGGTGCTCACAGCAGGGCTTCCGTGTTTGAGGAGGCGAGGCCCGTCTCCCCACGGGGAGGCATCCGTCCTCAGTCCCGACCACGGCCGCGGTGGCCCCAGTGGGTTAACAAGGAGCGCAGTGAGCCTGCCACAGGGGACAGCCGGTGAAGCTCCGACACGGGATCCTGAACTAGACTGTCTGTGAGCGCCCGGAGACGACGCGGCCAGTCCCCGGGCTGGCCAAGTGTGGTCGGCTCCAGCTTCGCCTGGAGACCTCCGGCAGTGCCTGGGCACGTGTCCCGGTGAGCCAGGACGGGCTGAGTCTGGTGTGGACCATGGCACCAAGCCCCTGGCAGGGGTCCTGCCACTTAAATAAATATGGAATCTGTAAGAAGCGATGAGCCCCGAGGTGCGGCTCCGCAGGCCTGTGCGGGGCGGGGTGAGCCGCGAGTTTCCGGGGCTCCTGACGGGGCCCCAGCCCTTGGAAACTCGCCCCTGACTCGCGTTGCATTACCTGTCTTCAAAGACGCCGGAGGCCGGACAGCATCACCTGTGCTTTATTTCACACCTCTACACAGAGCTCAACTGAGGCTTTAGCTGACGAAGAAAAGACAGCAGGGACGAGGCTAGACGCGTAAGGCTCCATTCTGGGGCGCAGCCACGCTTGTGGGGTGCCCCGCAGAGTCAGGAAGACAGCAGGGGCCTCGGGGGCCTGAGGCTCAGAGACAGGCGGGGCACAGGCCTGCCGGGCAGGACGCACCCCGGACACACCTCCTCCTCGGCTTCAGGCCAGCGCACCGCCCTCCACACACCTGCGCACACCCTCGCACACACATGTTCGAGTCCCCTTAGCAGAGTGACAAGGGCCACTACAGTGGGGGCCACCCTCCTGAGGACCCACCCAGGGAGGAACCACGTCCTGCACCCGGTGGCTGGGGAAGACTCTCCCGCACACCCGGCCAGCTCATTAGGGAGGTGGCGATGCCAGCTCCGAGAGGCCCTCCAGCTCGGCTCCACCCCTCAGGAGCCCGTCAGCGAGGAAGCAGAGCGCCAGGAGGCCGGTCCCCAGCAGGTCTCCCAGCCCGGTGAGGTAGGGGATGCAGTGGTTGTCAGGGTCCAGGGCCTGGTGCCACGTCAGGCGGACTGTCACTTCTGCCAGGTACAGTAGGACCGCCACCTGTCAGGAGGGTGGGCAGACACAAAAGACCACGTCAGAGAGCCAGTGTGGCCAGATGCCACCGAGCACCAGGGCGGCAGAAGCCAGCAGGCTGACCAGGCCCCCAGCTGCTCCTGGGTCTGCAGCCCAGCTGAGCTCTCAGTGGTGGGAACCGTCGGCCCTCGTCTGCACTGCATCCTCCTTCCCCGGGGTGGAGCCCTGTTCTAGGCCCCCGATGCACCAGCCCACCCAGCAGCTGCTCACCAGTGTACCTCCATCTGGGTCTGTGGGTGCCCCGCTCCAGGGAGCGTGGGGCGGCTGGGCCCTCCCGAGGGCGGC